AGGAATTTTGATATCACTGTGCTGATGGACAATAAACAAAAGGCAACTATTCATTAGAAGCATGGGGGAAGAAAGAAACCAGTTGCCAAATGGAACAGAGTAACTCAAGAAATTCAGTTCTTTTCAAGATTCGGAGGACTTTGGGTTTTCATTGTTTTCTTAAGGTAATAAAGCAGCTGACTGTGTCCCTATAGAGAAGCATAGTGGCTTGTTCTTTTATGGGGGGAGAATCTTTTTCTTTTTAATTCCACATATTCAAAGTTTTTTTATAGATTTTGTGAACTGGTGATGGAATTTGATTTAAAGGGACACTGTCACCTTCATTAGGCTTCAAATTTTACCTTTTTCCAAAAACAGGTAAATGTCACTTGGTTTTCTTGTTTGAGACTTGTTTCCAGCATGGCTTTTAGATGTTTGACAAGAAGAGCGGGATAGAAGTTTGAAGAAAGGGAGGGAGGGGATTGCAGCAATTTAAACTCTGTGCTGTTTTTCGTTAAAATTGGGGACTTTCAAAATAGTGTTCAAAGACTTGTTTCTTCCTTGCAGTCTTCTGGGTAGACCTCTCTTGTCTAAATTATCACATAGCCCCAAACTTCTGTTGAATCTGCTACTTTAATTGTAAGAAAGTACAAATAAACCACTCGTTAATCTCACTTGCCTCTCAGGTAACTGTGCATTCAGTCATTAGGAAAAAGTTCATCCCTGCTAAATACTGACGGTTGGAAGGAGGCAAGAGGAGGAGATTTTGTTTGCTTTTAGGGAATTCTGTGCTGATGTCTTGTCCGTAAAGTCAGCATTTCAACTTGTTTTGCATGAATACCTAAAAGCAAGCAAACAAGGTTGCATGTTATTAACACTTTCTTTTTGTTGTGGATATGTAGTACTTAACATACTGTGCAGTGCAGTTTTGGCACCATCTAAGACCCTGTCTTGTCTTTAATCTCAGAGCTGTCTGGAGTTCAGCCTAAGGATTCAGGAGTTCATTGAACTCATTCGACAGAACAAGAGACTGGATGCTGTGAGGTATGGAATTAGGATGCTTACCAAACAATTTTCTTAACAAGATGGTATTATGCTTCATTAGAAATGTGCAACTATTACTGCAACACCCTGAAGCCCCACTGCTGTAAATGATTTTTCTAGTGTTGTGATCAGTCTTTAGGTTTAAGCTGGGGTTGACTTTTCTTTTTTTTTTTTTTTAAGGCAAGGTGTCATTCCACAGATGTATCTTTTTAAAAACTTAATGTTGTTGCTGAAACTCTGCATCTTCTTACTCTTCAAAATCAAAGTTTACAAAATTAATCTGTTTCATAAAACAATTGTATGTTATGGTGGCATACAATGCAACAAACATATTTACACTTAACTAATTTTCAAGAGGAACAGCTAGCTTCTCATAGGAACTCATTGCAGTTTTAATCACAAAAAAATACGAAAAGGTTAATGAAACACCCATCTAAGGCTTAACATTTCAGTTTTGACTGAATTCTCTTCTGGTTTACTGTCTTCATTTAGCTTTTTGTTAATGTTTAGGCTAGGTTTACCTCTTGTATTGAATGGATAACTTGGAGTTATGTACTGTCATGTGTATGAGAATAACAAGCTGTATTATGTTACCCCCACTCCCTTCCACTGGCCTCAAATGAAGAAACCAACTCAATATCCATTTTCACCTCTTTTGGACTAGTTCAGTGGGGACTACTTTGAGAAGAAAGTAACGCTGCCCAAAGCAGTGTGTATCAGTAACAGAACTAGAGTCAGACCTAATCGCTACTTAACTTCAACCACAAGATAGTCTGTCTGGCAGTACTTCTATCATTAGCACATGAAGCCACTTATGCTTTTAAGTTAGTAGCCCTGATTTAAGGTGTTGCAATAATGTTCCAGGATAAGAGAGGAACTTGCAGCATGTTCTGTTTTGTAGGAATATTTAAACCTAGGGAGAGATGACAAGTTTTAAGGCCAGACTTGAAGCTTTGCTGATACATTCAGGTGATAACGCTGTTACTGCTTAACATTTCTGACAAGTTTTGTTAAGGAAGTTGCAAGTCTTACTGCCTTTAAAATCATACTAGGTTCTCCAGACATTGAAACCAGCAGGAGGCTTGTATTTGTGGCAAAGCTGCTTTTTGGTCGGAGGAGCGCAGAGCTGTAGAAAAATATGTAGAGTGTCATAACATAAGCACAGACTGAAAGCATTCTAGTGCATCCCCAAGTTTTAGATGCAGAAACTCTTCTGCAGGGCAAACCACCTGCAGAAGAGTTTCTGCATCTAGAATGGGTAAAGAGACTTAGGAAAAGGTAGTGCAGGTCTGTGGAGAGGCCAGTCTAATATTAACACCACCCCCAAAATTACTCGCCTTAAGTGTTAGGGTTATTTCCAGTTGTTACTTCTAATTTCATTCAAATGCATTGCTTGCTTTGAGCTAACTTTTACTGTTCCTACATTGCCCTACTTGCACTTATCATTGTTGTTTTGATCCCAGCCAATGCAAATGTGCAATCTGATAAACTCCAGCTAATTTTAATGTTAATAATTAAAAAAAAAAAAAAAGCAAAACCAACCAAACCTACATGCCGGCATTTAGATATGTGCATTTACTCTTTGATAGATGTTCTCCAGTCCTAAGGAATTGTCAGGTACTTATGAAAAGGATGAAAGACACTCAACTACATTATCTGTCTTCTGAAGCCCATGGTGCTCTTTATATCCAACAAATACTGTGCTTTGTGCTTTTAGCTTTATTCCCTGCTTAGTTTTTGCTTCTTTGCCAAATGTGCAGTCATGCATCTTAACAATGAGTAGTCCACACTCTAAAAACTATTTTCTTTGAGCTGTAGCTTCCTTTTGTAGCTTGGAAACCAGAGGGCAGGCATAGAGCTGAAATAAGGAGATAGGCTGAGAACTGGGACAAAGCAGATAAGGTCATTCTCTGTTTTATTGTTGTTACAGGATATTTGTTTCCCTCTGATTCCCTTTCCACATCAGAACTGGTAAAATTTGTGAGTTGTCAACCCCAGACAGGACCCAGCACTCTTGGTGTAGAATAACTTGTACTATCATAGCCTCTGAGGTTTAAAACTTACAGCTCTATCTGCATTGCAAACAGGCGTCTATGTTGCATGTTGTTAGGGTGAAGCGTGTATATTCTATATACCTATAGAAATTCAGGGTTGATGTATATTTTATACTCAGCAATTATAACTTGTCAGTCATAACAATGCTGCTTTAATTTCATAACTTCTTGTAAAATGAAAAGGAACTACAGGAGTCCTTCTATATCTTAATTCACTCCTTTTTAACAGAGTGAGTGTTGATAATTTTGTACGATGAGTTCAACATCTCAATGCTTTCCTTAAATAACGTGGCTTAAAAATGTTAGTTTTTACCAATTTGTTCTGCTTTGCTTCACAATAAACATGCAAAGAGTAAGGAAATATATTTGGGAAAGGTGTAGCATAAATCTCAGTGCTTCTAGCAAACTGTTGCAACTTGTGTTTTTATTAGCTTGCTTCTGTTAAGTGCCTGCAGCAGGATTCTTTCAGTATTGTGTCCGTGGTGCAATAAATAGGTCAGGCATCCATTAGAAAGCAGAGAAAGAGGCTGTTTACCAAGTAGTTTCCTGTATGAGTGGAACTCGGAGAACTGACATTTTGTTGAAACGCAGCTGGTGTTTAAATAAGTTTGAAAGCTTTGCTTACTGCCTGCTGAGAACCTCTAAAGTGACATATTGCTTTTAGGTTAAAATTGATGTGAGCTTTAAAATTATACATCTTATATAATAAATATTTGAATTTCTGTAGCTTTTTAGAAACATAGTACAAACAGACCTTTCTCTAAGGTAGCTTATCAGAGTAGTCTTGAAAGTGCAAGTTTCAAGAATGTACAAAAACTATTTCTTGAATACAAAGAGTAAATCTCTTAAGTACATTGCAAAGTCCTTACTATCATTAGCCTTTAACTCTCACAGTCTCTTTAGGGTTTTTGTAAAGCTCACACCTATTACAGTAACAATGAATGACTGATGACACTAATTTTACTCTTTTTTGAGCTCTCACTAGTTTCATTCTGGGAAATCTGAGAGCATTCCCCTACTTTGCTCTTATGAGATGCTAGAGATAAGTAGAGTTCTTAGCTAAAAGCTTAACAAAACACTGTGCACACTTCTTGTTCTTGGGATATAAAGGACAAAAGGAGCAAATAAAAATAGCTGGTGATGCACAGAGTTAGGAGAAAGCGACCGTAGTCCATTCATTTTGGTAAACTTCTTTCCTACAAGGGTGAGTAAACACAGTTTGGTTTTAGTTTTATCGAGGGAGTTGAACAGGTGTATAAAAATAACAACAAAACTTTTGAGCACTTTATATTCAAAGTTTGCTGGTAGTCATAATGGTCTCTGAGACAAAGGTATTCAGGTGTCAGTCAGACAGACTGAGCAGAAAGAACAAGTCCTTTCTTGATAACATGATGTTTGTGTTCAGTTACTGCTACCTCCTGTATTCAGGCATCTGTAGACACACACACACACACACACTGGATAGCTTATATATTTTCTTTAACAACTCAATGTACCCTTAGTAGAGAGTAAACTGTGAATCTTCAAGTCTTCATAAATATCCTTTCATTCTTGGATTTGTCAAGTACAATATGTCTGCTGTACCTGCTTGGGCTAGAGGAACAGGTATTTCAAAAAAAAGATGTTGGACTTTGTCCCCACAGTTTACAGCAGCATTGTGGGATTTGAAAAACAAAAACAAAATTTTCTACCTAATATTTTGATCTGTCACAAGAATTTAGTTTCAGTGATGGTCTGCTGGTCATGATTTAAAAAAAACAATTTAAGAAAAAGATTAGCCCCCTGCCCGAGCTATACTGGTAAAACATTGTAAATAGGCATTGTATGGTTCATATATACCTCCAAGAGCATAATGTTTGCCCAGAGAGATGGAAATAGCTGAATGAAAAGGGAAGGGGAAATAAGGTGTTATTTTTGATGTTGTGCATTCATGAGTACTCATAGTACCATTTCTTGCTTCCCAATCTAAAAAAGACTTCAGAGTGTTACGAGTTAATGAACTCGCTTCACTTTTAAAGGATATCTTGCTTCATTTTAATTTCTCTGTGTTGGCACTCAGAGGATGAAGGTCAGACATTAGCATGGCAGGCTTTGTGGGAAAACTTTCTTGTTTTCTTAAGGGGCACAGGTGGTAGGTAAAGGCAGGAGATGAA